AATGTGTAGCATGATCCCTACCATAGTCACATTTCAAGTTTGAACTGCTATGATGAAGAAAAAGCAGTAAAAGTATCTGAATTAGTTGAAGTAGTTTCTGTACCTCACTTTCAAGAATTCCTCCAATCTTGCTGAAAGCTGGCAGTTGTAGACCATACTTTTCTAACTCTTTGCGCATAGCACTGATTTGTTCCTCTATGCAAGCAAATAAGAACACATTGCCATCAATGTGAACAAATGAAAATATAAATGAATGGATGAATGAATGAACAATTAAATGAATGGATGGAAGTGTGATATCTGTGAAAACTAATTAAAGAGTTATCACTATATCATGTGTATCTTTTCAAATTAATGATTGATAATATTATGTTAATAATACCTGTAAATTCAGCCTTTCCATATAAGTCCTCTATTTGTGGTGCCACTCCAAGTTTAAAAAGGAACAAACTATACAACAACAAGATATCAATAATCAAAAGTGAAACAGCTTAGGATATACTGAACACTCATGAACAGTCTCTACTAAAAAATAAAATAAGTATGTATAAGGAAAATAACCTAATAAAACCTGTGCATTGTGATTTTTAAAGAATCCGTTTATATTTGTATCAATTTTATTTTACTTTCTTTTCAAAGTCCATTTTTGGTAACTTAAGAGTTAAATGAGAATTTGAAACAGAGATTCGCATAATTAAAGTTTCATCAGCAGCTATTTGGTTTCATCATTGGTAAAAAAAATATGTCAAGAAAAACTCTTTTAGTGTGGAAAAACACTTCACCATCTGTCATTAATCAATAACTGCTACTTATGAATTGTTTCAAGATTCAAATTGTTAAAATAGATGTCACAAAAGACTTGAGAAGCTTTGCAATTACAGATGCAAAATAACCATCAATATTAAAGATGTGCATTGTCTCAGGCAAGTGAAGCAAGCATTCAACCATATAAGGCCATGTAACTAGAAAAATTCATGAATTAATTGGATTCTGAAAATGTATTGTCTACTTTACTTATTATGACACTTGGCACCCACGTACATAGTGAATAACATTCATAAATTAATGACAAAAACACTGTTAAACTTGACAATAATGTATTAAGACCAAACAAGATATTGAGCAACTACATAGACCTATACAACCTCTATTTATATGACAATATCACACAAACTGCACTTGAATTATTATTAAAGAAAATGTAAAATGGAAATGGTTAACATGATTTGTCTATACAAGCTTGATTTCCCTAAACATCTGTGCTTCCTGTGGCTCTTATGTTAAAAGCATTGAGATTATCTTATTATTTCAAGTAATATTCAATATATTTATATATTTACAAGATTGTTCAAAAGGGATTTTTAACATATATGCAACATAAGCAAATTTCTAAGAAATGATGTCATATAACAGTTTGTACCTATATGTAGAAGTCAATATTCTACTGGAAAATTTGTTCACATCTTTTAGTAATATATCCAGTTTGCACCAGATGAAGTGAAATAATAAAAATAGATAATAAACTTTTTCTGATAGGGTAAATAGAATCAAGTTCTTCCTAAGTATCATTAACTATGACATTATCATTACAAAAGAGAGATGAAAAAATGTAAATATGGCTACTAATCTCTAGCAATTACTCTAGATAAAGAGTTTCCTAATAATAACAATAACAATTTTAATCAAGATACCTTAATCAATGCAATTTCTTTTCATTTTTACTCAGATATTTATTGCCGGGTCAGTCAAGAAACAAAGAGTAAGAGTAAAAGAAATAATTATGGAAAATAATAAAATGGGAACTGGTAGTGATATTTGTAATCCTACCTTAATGCATGCACACAATAGATGAGTTTTGGCATATTCTTCTTGTCATAAATATCCGTTGTCTCAGGATAAAAGACCTTGAGCAAAATGGCAAATCCCAATTTTAATAAACTTTTCAGAAATACTACACAAAAGACAATTTATGCCAACAAAAAGAGATTTCTCGAGTTATTTATTAACTYACATTGTGAACATAACAGATTTTGAATAAAAATATATTTGCTTTTGCACATTGAACTAAATGTTGACATAAAGATCAGTAGATTTAGAAGGAAAATTATTTTAAGCCCTTGAAATTTCACAATCAATAATAAAAGTTGGGGTTTTTGTCTAGCCACATTTGATACTGTTCGCATTAAATGGATTACTGCAGTATGTGATAGTTTGAATTTTTTAACAAATACAGAAATAGCACAGAGAGCCGACTGCTGTCTAACTGCAGCATTTACCTTGGGGAGTCCAACATCTTCAAGAGCTCGTAGGAAGTAGTTTATATTATCCGTGTGGCGAAAATGAAGGCCTTTAGACTGTACAAGAAAAAAATATATGAGATATATACACACATATAGTTCGTGACTTTTGAAATTGAAAGTCGAAACTAAAGTATGCCTTTGAATTAAAATCTTGTTAAATTGTATTTGTACTATTTGTACATTTCCTCTAACATGCAATACACAGCTCCACCTAGAAATTATTTTAGCGATAGTAGGATGATAATTATAAAAATCAGAACTTTTTTAACTTCTGTTTACCGTGAAATGTTTCAGCTCTTTGTCGAAGATACGTCTGTGTGGTACGACTTTTGGTGCAAAGAAGTTTCCTAGCTTCGCAAGGTGGACTCCATTTCGCATATATTCTTCTAGTTCAGTAGTTTCAGGAAGATCTTCTTTGAGACAGGCTTCCATCCACCTGTAAGATATGTCACAAACCGGCAAATAATTTAACGGTATCAAGAGGCAGTATTCATCAGCTAATCAACCATTCAAAGGGTGTTGTTGGTTCGTGTCTTACGCTACGAACATCATTGAACTTACACTTTGGCTTCTTCCAAGTGACATAGATATTGGTAAGCTAAATTCTGCTTCCTTTGTTCATCCATTTCGGTTCCTGACGCCCTCTCGAGTCCACTATCTCCTAAGCAAACCAAGAGATTAATAAAAACATGCTTACTGTACGTGCAAAATGCGCGCACTCCATTACCTGATCCGCTCTCGTAGCTTCCCGAAGAAGGATCCCAGCGCCCATCTTCTTTATCGACATTATTTTCCATGGCTTAACCTGTCTTTCTTGTGATTAAGACCTATTTCAGGCTAATGCCGTCTCCGTAGTTCGCAAGACTACGTTCGGCCAACAAGAAGGAGGTGGTCAGTTTGTTTTCAAAGTGTCCTTTGGAGGGAATTTCGAATGAGACATCAGAAATTATGGTCTAGAAACTTCTCCCTACCCCTCCCTAGAAAACATTTTTTAAACAGTGCTTTTCATATTTGCACTTAAAATATCATTTTCCAAATAAATATTAGTCATTTTGCGTATAAAATGAGCATAAAACAATAAGTAAGACTTTCTGTAGGGCTTCGGCTTGGAAAATAGAAGTGAAAGATAATTTTTCCATGGTGCGCAAATATTCTTCCCTACCCCACTGCGCAATCGCGTGTACATTTCAAAATTACCTTGCATCTTTGCTAATTGCTAATCAAGTTATCAAGTTTTGGAAAGTGTTTTCTCAAAATTGTTTTAAATAAGACCCCCAAACGATGAGGAATTTCACATTTTACATGTTAATGAAGGATACCAGCTGTTTGAACAACTATGTAAACAACTAAACATGCTTTAGTGAGGTTGTCTTGTTGCCGTGATTACACACAAGTAAACATTGATTTTGCTGCCTGTTTTCAGCTTAATTGACGATGCAGAGACCAAATTCACGAGAAAAAATGGCTCTTCCTGCTATATCAGGAGAAGGCAATCAACTACGACATGAAGCACTGAGCCGGATGGATTTTCTAGAGGATAGGATGATACATCAGGAGAAGACAACAAGATCTTTGATAGATAGAGCTTTGAGGGTGAAAGAGGACATAGAGGAAAGCCTCGGGTACGCTCAAATGAATTGGCAAGGCGAAAAAAAGGCAAGGGCACTTCTTCAAGAACATATACGCACTATTACATCTGTTGTCAAGCGTTTAAGTCGTGAAATAGAAGTTATAGAAGATGAGTTACGCTCAAAGGAGAGCAAACTTGAAGGCAACTCCACGGCTTTCAAAAATCTCGAATTGCATCATGTTGCTGGGGTGACGGATCTGAGGGGCCGTGTTGCAAGATGTGACCATGCCATAGAAAGACTGATAGCAGATGTAAGAACCTGTGTAGAGGCTATCAATGAACTGAGGCAGAAACAAGATCTTCATGTTAAAAATACTAATGAAAAATTTCACAATTTACAAACTGATATTAATGAGCTTACATTAAAATTTGAAAAATACAGTGCTGAGTACTCGACAAACATTCAGAAAATGAAAGGAGATGCTGATGAACAAGTAACAAGATTAGATTCAAAAACAAAATCAGTTGTTGAGGACCTGCGAGGTAGCATCACCTCAAGTCGTCAGTGGACAGAGTCTGAATATTACAAAATAACTAAAGATTTCCACGAAAGACTTGAACGAATGGAAGGAATCTTGTCCCAGAGGCAAAGTAAATTAGAAAACAAAGTTGAACTGTATTTATCTAAAATAGAAAAACTCCTTGAAGAAGAAAAGGATAAATACTACAACATATGGGAGGTACGATTGAAAGAAACGAAGTCTTTGCAAGACAAGGCATTAGGTTCCACATCCTCCTCTATGAGAAGGGAATACAAGCAAGGGTTTCACACCGTTCATGAAAGCGTCAAAAGCCTACAAAATGTTTTTGAAGCAAAGCTTAAACTTGTGGAAGAAAATTTACAAAAATCCATTAACAATGTGTTACGTATGGTTGTTTTGACGTAAAAACCTTTTAGTGGATATTTGATACATGTAAAACCTTATGTTTTTGTAGATGTTTTTGTGGCCCTTTTGTGCACACCTTGAACCACCATTCACGTCCTTTTTCATTCAAAACAACAATTATTAGTTCCAATCAAAATTGGTTTTGGTGTTTATTGAAATATGTAAGCCTTCGCATTACTACATGCCAAAATGGATGAAATTGGAACTTTCTATTGTTGTTTACCCCAAACTAGAAGATTATAATGTATTTCTAATATATTTTGATCAGGCGCTTGTAATATATAGTATTCTAATGAAGGAGGAAGTTGTCAATCTTGACAGACATAAGTCATATAGTCAGATATATCACTCAAAGTGATTTGACACGTCAAACATTTCTTTCCAAAATATATTCAGAGTGTAATATTTTTAAAGTGTTTATAGAAGTACAAGTAAAACAGTCTATAGCCATCTGAGACACAGGGACAAGTTTTAATTGGACAGTCATAATGTACTTGTATGAACATTGATCCTAAACCTAAAGGCCAGTTTGGAAATAACATGCCAAGCACTTCAAAAATTACAAATGGAATGTGCTTAATGTGATAGACAAACTAACCCCATATAGGCTTTGTATATAAAACCCTTCTATTTACAAAATACAAGCATGAATTGAAGATCAAGTAAAAACTAAGGAATAAAAAGAAGTAAACATCTTGATGTACAACTATTAAATGGAAAAGAGAGAGTGTGACATTTGAAACATTGAGCAAATACAGTTTATACAGCTAAAAAAAAGACTTTTATCACAATGAATATTGTGACTGTTATAGGAAAATAATACCAACAATACTATGTCACTAACTGTGTTAAACAAGTGCATTTCATAAGTCAATTAAGAATAATAACTAAAATTAGTACACAATACAAACTCATTTAGTTTTTTTAACTGCATTTGCTCTGCTCCATATTTGTGTCAAGTTTCTACTGACTTGTACAACTTTTAGGTCATGATTTGGTTATAAAATAWAATGGTTTCCATGGGACTTCAAAACAATTGTCAGCATCAATAGTCCTGTACTGTTCCAACAAAAGAAAACAAKTCTTGTGCTTTGAGTTACTGGTGTCTATTAGCTGGTGACTATTTTATAGTCCTATGAAAATCATTCTGATAATTCTGTTAAGTTTTATTCTTTGTGTAAGCCTCACATCATTTTTTCATGGTCTTTTCAGGTCTTTTTGGTTGAGAAATACTGAAAAATTGCAACAAAAAAAACTAAAACAAAATAGTGCTAGATAATGTCATATCTATTGTTGAATAATTAGCATTGTTTAACAACTAAATAGTGCAGCAAATGTCTGGTTTTAGTGTTTGTAATTCAAACTGCTCACTATTTTAGTTGATTTATAATTATTATAGAGTTTGTGTGTTTATACATGTAACTTGACACAAACACTTAACCTACATGTATATTAAGACATTTAAATCAATATGATGAGTGCATGCCATTTCATCTTTTGAAAAGTATCCATCGCAAAAGAAGAAAAAAAAAATTCTATTAAATAAACCATTCAAACAATTACTAAATAACACTACCTAGTTGTGAAACATTGCTAGTTTTTCAAAAGATACCAGCAAAAATGCTCAAAATCACAAACAATCCATCTGAATATTACCAAACATGCTCACACAAATAAAATAGTTTTATATTACGGAGCCACAGTTGGCCACACCATTTCTCCCTCTAAATGCATGGTTGCAAACTTTTCTTGTGAGTTTGCTTTTGCAGTCAATGATGTATCTCCTAAGTTTTCATAGTCTTGTCAATCAATAGTAACAAGAACACAGCTTCAGCTTTGTCACTTCAATGCAGAACGTATTTTCTGAATATTATACTTTCCAGTTGAATTCCAGCTGCTTTAATGCTCACAAAACCTTTGAACTTTGACCTTGTAGTCCTCTTTACAACATTTCTTTTTCAGCTTTCAGCCGGAGATTTGTACTATCCTTTACAAAAGAGTCCAAACTTCAAGATTAAAAGATGACATTACAAAAAATATTCTCTAATATTGACAACAAGACATTTGTCAATCTGAATCAGACTTTCTTCTCTTGTAAGATATCTTTTCCCTTGAAAGAGATCTAGAGTGTCTTTTAGAGTGTTTTCTGGTCTTAGGTGATGGAGACACATTAGAAGAACTATCACTTAACGGTGACTTGCTGTGCAGATTGTCTACATAGTGTTCTGATTTAGATTGTGGACAGGGAGATTTGGAATGAGACTTCCCATTCTTTGATTCTGTCTTCTTTGCAGGTGAGCGTGATCGTGAATGGTCTGATGATTCTGGAGAGTGTGATCTAGATCTTGATTTGTTCTTATCTCTGGATTTGTGATTAGAGATAGATCTTGATCGGCTTTTCCTTTTAGACTTTGATTTTTTTCTAGATCTAGACCTAGAACCTGATCTAGATTGACTTCTTTCTTTTCTGTTTGATCTCGATTTCTTTTTTGATCTTGATCCTGATCTGGATCTACTTCTATCTTTTCTTTTGGATCTTGATTTAGATCTTGATCCAGACC